GAAATAGAGAGAAGCAAGAAAACTTTGACAGGGTGCTTTGGAAGGCTGCAGTAAAAGTTTTAATAATCTTTATAGCAATAATATTAATGAGAATCAGCTAGTGAATAATATCAAGCCTCAGTGTAAGCTTAACTACTAAAATGGATAAATAAATTATTTATTAGCAGAATAAAATTATTAGTAGACTAAATAAATTATTAAATAAATATACCAGTCTAAACAGAAGTTTACAAAAAATACAGCACAGTGGTATCACTCAGTAGCATATTGTCAGAGGAGAGCTTGAGGGATTAGCATTGACAGTATTGATTATATCAATTAACTGAACAGTTATAATACCTTTTGATTGTGTAGTTCACTTATGCAGTGTTAGATATAACTACCAAAGTTTTTGTACTATTGTTATTTAAAATTTTTAATAATTTATATGAATTAAAGGTGTAAATTCTTGACTTCAGTCTGGGCCATATTTCAGTGGCATTGATCTTAATTGCATGCGTACATTTCATACAATGCATGTTATAATATCAAGTATAGACCTAATTTTAAAAAATTTTTTCATGCATAAAATGATCAACCACAATAATTCAGTGTAGCTACCAACATCAGTAGCCATTGAAAATTTAAGCAGTTGCAATTATCATTACATATCTAATTTGTAACCGTTATTCCACTAAATTCAGAACAAGATTTACTTCCCACACTAGGCTGTAAAGTGACACAAATAAGTATGATATATTTTAATTTACTCCACCATTTGTAGAGTCACTGCATGACATCAATTAACTCAGCAGTACAGTAGCTATCATGCTCAGACTGTATACAGTTGTTTCATGAATAAATTCTTTAAATTTGCAATATCTGAAGGTTTGGGCTTATATCTAAGCGAGAAGCAGGATTTCAGTAAGAGTAAATCTTGACCTTAGCATTAGCTATAATTCTTAGCAGTGAGCAAAGTGGTCCGTAAAATAGAGATGTCGCGGACCATTCGGGTCCGTAAAACAGACTTGTCGCCGACCATGGTCCGTTGGTCCGGTCCGGTCCGGTCCGTTTTTTAGGGACGAGACTCCGGACGACCCCACTTTTACGGCCGCGAAATGGACGTGTTCTCGCAATATGGAGTTTCATTTACTCTCATATCTATGCATGGTTCTCGCAACTGCTTCACACTCAGACTCAGATGAGGACTCAGGCAAGACTCAAGGTAGCAGCACAACCAACAAAATCATCATTCACAAGATTATCATCTTCAATCTCCTCATGCTCATCTTCAGTACAAATAGTCTATATGGCTGGGGTTGACTACTAATATACTCAACTAAAATTTGCATAAAAAATTACAAAGCTTTTGTTTTTTTGCAGCTGACATTGTGATGGCTTCACTTAAAGTTAACTTTTTATAATTTTATTAAGCTAGCTAATTAATTAAGTTAATTATATAAAGACTCCACCTTAATAAATTATAATAATTGTGCTAAAATGGCTGTTTTTCTTTCCTTTCTCCTGTCTCTGTTTGCCTGTGTCAAAAGTGACTGAGTGAGTAACTGCCAGTTGAGACAGCTACCCTAAACTTCTATAATCTTTGGTCATTAGTGACTAAGGCAGAAACTCAATATAGGTAAACTACTAAACTTCAATTCTGACTTCTGAACTTCAGGGTAGGCTATAGCCTACCCTAGCCTTTATGCTAGCTACGCATAGGCGGCTACAGAATCTTGAATTTACCAGGGCTCATTAATTATTCATAAGAATTAGGGGTGTGGTCAATTAATAAAATGACTGAAAGTCATTATGATAGCTCACAAAAGCCAGTTACCACACTAAAATAACTGTAAAGTGGAGCTGATAGCAAGTATAAACAGTGGTGGCTATTAAAAATGAATTCTAGTGATGATCTCACTCCTAATAATAACAAAACACACCTTTTGGGTGTGGTTTTGGTTCAAAACTACCAGGGCAAAGCCCTGGCTTGCCCGGGCCTATAGCCGCCTATGTAGCTACGCCCTTGTATGATATCACTACAAGTGTCAATTAATCTACAAACTTACTTCAATTATTAATGGCAAACTTTCATTATTCAAAAGAACAGATACTATTGCTTCCAATACTGTTGATATTATGTTAATGTTTTGAATGTTTTGGTCAGCAAGAGTATGTGTTGCATTTTCCACTAAACTGCTCATATTGAAAGCTGCTAAACCAAAATTATCAACTGTAATGTTTACCTGAAACATATAAGGTATTTACATCTAACCACAATCATATTATACTATTATATTACATACTTTAGATAATCCATTGAATCCATTTGTAACATCAGTAGTAGCACACATCATCACATCTGCTAATTCCCAATCAGAAGAAGCAGAGCATATTCTACTTGCTGTAGCTCCATTAGGGCCACTAGGACATGATATGGTAACAGTCATTCCAGGTAGTGTTAGTGGCCATTTAAACTGACCATGATCATTAGTATTAGTCTGGGGATGGCATACATGAGTGGGGACTGAAGTTGATATAGGAAGTAGCAATGATATACTTGATGACGTTGAGGAAGTGTGAAATGTAGTTGGATTGATTATTGAGGGAACAGAGCTTGGTTTTAATGGAATGGAAGATAATGTCATTGAAGTTGATTTGGGTGATGCCAAAGTTGAGGAAGATGATAATGAGGATGATGAAGTATGAAAGGAAGTAGTTGGGTTGATTAAGGGTGAGATAACTGATGAATGTGGTATCAGAGGAATAGAAAACAATGAAGGTAACATTATCATGTGTAATGCCAAAGAAGTTCGCAATGCCAAAGATGAAAATAATGTATTTGAAGAGGAAGCTGCTGGAGAGGGTAAACAGCATTTTGAAGAATTTGAGCAATATGGTCCAGTTGAGTTACATGATCCAGAACCAGCTAATACTAGAATGCCATTCTCACTACTAAACCCAATCTGAGGGCTTGATAATCTTCTTAAAATTTTTTTACATGTAGAAACTTGCTGAGGACCAGTACCATCATTTTTAATTGTCACAGAACTAATCCCTGGAAAACAATAGCCTATACTGATCTCGTTACAATCAATCCAGTGAAAGTACAAGTTTGTCGGTCTTGAATAATCAACACTAATATTGTATTGTGTATCTGTATCTGGTTGAGAACCTATAAGATAACAATAAATCATATCAGTAGTTGTATTTCACTAGCATACTGTTGTAGGTCATTAAATAGTTGAAGTCTCCTCCAAGTGTTTCTACCCATAGAGTTGCAATTGGATCTCCAACAACACAGTCTGCATTTGTCTGGAGATTAAACGTCAATGTAGCAGTGTCTGAGCTACCACCAGCAAAAAGAAGAGAGAAAGGCAGTAAAAGCAACAGCATTGTTACTGGTTAATCCAACAGAGGAAATGGAAATACCAAGTGCTAAAAAGTGCATAGCAAACATCAGTTGTCTAATGCATGTTTTTGTAGCGTAGGAGTTCCTTCAACTGGCTCCACCTGGCACCTACCTTCCACGTGGTTCATGATGGAGGCTCAGTACAAAGCAGAAATCTCACAAGAAGCGACAAGCTGGTACTAAAGCTATAAAAAAGAAGAAAAGGGACAAGAAGGGGAAGGAAAACGAGGAGGCAGAGGATCAAAGAAACCCCAAGGCTTTCACTTATCGCAGCGCCATCAGAGCAGCCAGATCAAAAAGGAGGACACTAGACATCAATGAAAAGAGGAACCGTCTCCCCCAGGTGGACAGGACTCCAATTGAACCACCTCCAGTACTAATAGCTGTAGTAGGACCACCTAAAGTTGGGAAGACGACTCTAATTAATGGACTAGTGAAGCACTTCACTCATCACACTGTGTCCAAGAACCAGGGACCAGTCACTCTAGTGTCAGGTAATCGTTTAACGTATGACAGTTTTAAAAGTGGATATTTATTTTTGTATACGACCTTTATCAAAAGGTTTGTTCTTGCAAAATTTTGCTATTCTGCCATCTTGTTTTGTAAATTGATTTTCATGGAATTTAATGTTGTGGATTGTTAAGAAATCCGTTAAATTTGTTATTCTTGGAAAGAAACAGCAATAAAGTCTTGACTATGTGGGAAGAGTGTGTAGTGTGTACTCGATGTACAGAAATGTCATGCCTACCTAAATAAGTAAATATGCATGAAATTAGTACAAAACACAAAGCATCTCTTCCTTAGTTATTGCTTGTAATTGATCCTTCTCTTTCCTCCTCTCTCTCTCTCCTCAGGTAAAAAGAGACGTATCACATTTATTGAGTGCAATAATGACATCAATACAATGATTGACATAGCAAAAGTTGTAGACCTTGTAAGTAATCAAGTAATAGTTTAATGATCACAGAAATATTAATGAGCCCAGATGTATTTTATCTGGTATGTATAGTGTATATAAATATCACCAAAGGACAAATAGCACTATCTTTATTATCTTGAATTTTTTAGTATCTACAACTTTTGCCTGTCGTACATTATACATTATAGGTGTTGCTGCTTGTTGATGCCAGTTTTGGTTTTGAGATGGAGACGTTTGAGTTCTTAAATATCCTACAGACCCACGGGTTCCCTCGTGTGATGGGAGTACTGACACACCTTGACATGATGAAGAAGAATAAAAACCTGAGGAGACTCAAAAAGAAACTCAAACAAAGATTTTGGACAGAAATATATCAGGTAAGATAGAGTGTCAGTTTATAGGAAGAATTATTAAGTAACCTACAATTACAAAAAAATTTACAATTATTACAATTTACAAAAAATTGAACAAGCAGATAAAAGTGCCAATGCTTAGTTGAAATAATTATGATAATCTGAACCCAATTTTTATTGCTTATTTGATTAGTTAATATACTGGTAATGTGACTCAGTCTTTATTTATTGATATTAAAGCATTATTTATTTTATTTGTTTAGGGTGCGAAACTTTTCTATCTGTCCAACATTTGTCATGGTCACTACATGAAGAATGAGTTGCACAATCTTGGTCGGTTTATATCAGTCACAAAGTTCAAACCACTAGACTGGCAGTCATCGCATCCTTACCTCATTGCTGACAGGTAGTGTGGTTAATGATTATACATGTACATGTACATGTACATGTGGTGTGGTCTGGGGAAGACCAACCTTAACTCTATAGACTTATGGCGGATTTTCCCTGACCACGCCACATACATTTACAATGTATAATATGGGTAGAGTGTAGTAATATGGGCAGATGTTGTCTCTCCTGTGGTTTTGTTTATTTACGATAACAAACCACTCGTCCAATTCTTAGGAGTAGTTTTTTTTGTGTAAATAAACAAAACTCTAACAGCTGGTTGAATGGGTAGCTATAAAAAATAAGGTTGAATATGCAAGGTTAATTATGGTATTTATTATAAAATGCCGCATCTTACATGTGTATATACTGTATATGAGTTAATAAAAGTTATACATGCATAATGTCATTGTTACATGTACATGTATACTGAATACACTTTTATCAGTATCTCTCTTTTTCCTTTTCTACCTTCGTCATTTCATAGGATGGAGGATCTCACATCTCCTGATTCAATTAAAGAGGATCCATTGTGCAACCGAACCATCTCATTGTATGGATATATGCGTGGAACTAGCATGAAATCCAGCTCCTATGTTCACATACCAGGTATGAGATATTTGGTACCAAGATCTCAGCTTATGTTCATTGGAGTAATATTGTACATGAATGATCATAATATTCTCTGTTCTTTTCTCTTACTTTCTCTATTTTCCCTAATCTCTCCATCTCTCTCTCTCTCTCTCTCTTTCTCACTCACTCTCTCTCCCACTCTTTCCCTCCCTTCCTCTTCCTCTCTCTCTCCAGGTTGTGGTGATTTCAAAATGGCCGACCTCTCAGTCCTGCCTGACCCCTGCCCTCTCCCTGAGAAAGAAAAGAAGAGGTCACTTGATGAGAGAGAGACTCATTTATGCTCCAATGGCTGGCATAGGAGGTGTGGTTTATGACAAGGTAATTAACATCATGTCTATTATTATTATTATTATTATTATTGGGGCGAGCCTGAGCTCGCCCCACTCTAGCTAGACTCTCAGTCACGCCCCGTCTGTCTGTCCACGTACGTCACCCCTATTTATGCGTAGATCTAATACGGTAGGTAGATACTATGCATTACCAATGCAATTTTCAATTTTTCATGGAAAGTGGGAGTGGTCACAGTAAAATTAAATGGCAACCAACACACTGGAAGAATTCATGAGCTTTCTAGCAGCAATATAAGGCAGATACACCGTCCAAAGACTTCTCCAGCAGCTATAGAAGGTTTTAAATTCAATTAATAACCTATGAAGCTCGTCCTTATTGATGCAATTGCTATTAAAACTGTGAAAGTCAATCAAGCTTTTCCTCAGTCATCTTAATATTGGATAATATTATATCTAAAGCTAAGTAAAGCATCTTTACAGACATTTATAGGCAAGAAATGTGTTTGTGAAGCTAGAAGACTAAAAGTTAAATAAAATAAATGATATAAAGTGATTTTATCAGCAGCATTAAACTTTCATCATGTATATAAATCATGCTTGCTATGCCTAAATCATGATGCATGCTTTGAAATCATCAGGAGTAGATTATAGATGGATAGATCCAGTGCCATATAATTGCTTTGCTAGCTTAGGCTCGCCCCTTAATGTTCTACATTACTTCTAGTTATTATTATTATTATTATTATTATTATTATTATTCTCATTTATAGGATGCAGTGTACATTGAATTAGGTGGGAGTCATTCCATGAGTAAGACCACGTCCACCAGTGAGATCATTCACTCGCTAATAAATACTGATGAGTTATTGGACAGTAAGATGATAAGATCCAATATCTCACATCTCCCATCAGTAATGCAATTGAATTGTCAGTTAATGAGGAAAATTGTTTTATTAACAAATACTAAACTGTCTATTATATCAAGCTACTGACTATAAAAATGTTTCAGTTTATAGTGAAGCATCTTTTATCTCTTCTTTCTTTATATCATTGAGATCTTGAGTTGCATGATTTGAAATGATGTAAATATCTTCACCCTTTGTGCTTTTGTTACTGGGTCCGGACTTGTAGTCACTGTGAATAGTAGTCCTAGGGAAACACTGAACAAAATGAGCCTTCCAGGGTTTCCTATATTCCTTGTTGAGCAAAATAAAAAATATAAAAATAAAAAATCCTTGAAGTGTATTACAAAATGCAAATATAAACTGGACTGTATGAGATACACTAGGCTCAGATATGAAAGTGAAGGCAGCAGATACCCAAGTTAAACCAAAGAGGATCATAATACCAGTAAAAGACAGTAACATCTTTAGTACTTCTGATACAGAGAGAGAGGAATTGCTCATCCGCTTTTTTCTATCAATGGCATTTTTAAGAGTAGTTCGAATGACAAGTATGAACACAATTGTATTAATGATGATGATGAGGAAAATGGGTGACAAGAACGCTGCTAATAATGGTATTGTTTTACCAATGAAGCAACTATATTGGGAATAATTAATTGTCTAAGATTATTAAGCACTCACAATTCCGAATTTTTTGTACTTGTAATGTAGTAGCTATTGTCAACTGCCAGTAAGATCATAACTGGAACAACAGGTATAGCTAAATATAAAGTATTATTATTGTATCCATTACTATCATTACTTACTCCAACAAACAATAGACACTATTAATATATATCGCCAAGATATGTTTGTAAACACTATTACTATTTTTTGAAACATCAGCACAGCTTCTGCTCCCATCCACATCCAGAAAACAAGAGTGAAGTAATGTA